GCGGGCCCCCGAATCGGAAGGCGGTTGTGGACGCTCGGGGTGATCGTGTCGAAGGAGCTCGGTCCCGTGGAGAGCCGGACGTCCTCCGCGAGGTCCGCGAGGGGGCGGCAGCGGGGGTCCTCGTGCCTGGCGAACCAATTTGAGAGGTTCAGAATCAGCGTGAGGGCCCCGCGGCGGGCCTGGACCTCGCGCGCGGAGACCGGGATGGCGGTCGCGATCTGCACCAGGTCCCGCAGCAGGCCCTTTTGCGAGCAGATCTCGGCGTGGAAGGCGACCCCGCAATGGCGGATCATCACGTCAAGCACCTGGACCATCAGGTGGCGGACGGCGGGGTGGCTGTCCGAGATCCGCCGATGGAGCGCGCGCACAATGTCGACAATCACGCCGGGTTTGTTGTTGGCGCTTTCGCAGAGAAAGACAACGTGGTTGTAGGGCGGAACGGAGAGCTCGGGCTGCGTGCACTCCTCCACAATATCCATGTAGGGCGTTGGGATCAGTCGAGACGCCTTATCCGCAATCTCCTCAAAGAAAGAAAGATGAACCATTTCTTTTTAGGGGTATTTTTTCTTTTTCAGTTTCGGCCTCTGCTGACGTTGTATGGGATGAGTTGGAAAAACAAAGCAAACAAACAGAATCGACACTCGAAAACGATGTTTGTTGTAATTTGTTCCTATGTAGATATTTTGAAGTGAATCGCTAAGGGAAAGGATACAAAAAAGAAATGTATAATTATTAAAGGCGATAGAAAAAAGGGTTAACTCCATTTAACATGCTATTAGAATTCAAAAAAAAAGGTTGAGTTGAAACATACAATGTATTCTTGTGTTGCAGCAGCAAACATGTTGAGCTTAGAGAAAAAACCTTGTAACTGAACACAACTCTCCAAAAAGATAAAAAATTGCTCTAGAGAAGGATATCAATAGCGGTATCAATTCGCACTATAATCATAATATGGCTTCAAGTATTTACCTGTGGTTTAGATAAAGCAAAAGAACCTAAAAGAAAACAACTACTAAAAGTTGTACAATGCAATCCGAATCATTTAAAAACAAAAATCTTAATAGAAAAAAAGCGTAGAAAACGTTCAATATCTATCTGATTGAATGACCATTAGCAGTAATTTAGAACTTTAAGAGAAAAAACTCATCAGGGCGTTCCAATTCAATAACTAAATCAATATTTTTTTTACACTTTCTTGTATATTACCCAGACACTTTTTTATTTATGTGATTTTGAAAGGCTCTACATCACTGTGCAGTTGCATTGACTCTTCGACTCGTCGATCTCAGTTTGAAGCTGCATGATTTCCTTATCGGCCTGAGTCGTTTCGTTCTCCAGCTTTTCTATTTGTTTTAAAAGTGATCTTTTATCACGAGAAGGCTTCTCCGCGGCATAAACGAGGTCGTACTCCTTCTGAAACCCTTTCATCCGTTCATCTGAATTATCGGTAGCTCTGACAGCAGCCTCCTCTTCTTTGAGCTTTCTGATTTCCTTCTCAGCAGCCTTGTGCGCGGCGGAGTGTTCTGCAAATAGTTTTTTGTGCTCAGAAGGTGGAGCGTTGTTAAACTTTTTTAAGTATGCCAACTCCTCCTTCTCCTCATTGTATTTGTCAAATCGGGACTCATATTCCTTTAGGATCTCATTTTGCTTCCGTATCTTGAGCTCCAAGGATTCATTTCGTATTTTAGAATCATCAATCGCCTGCATTAAGCTATCAGTGGAGTAGATTGAAAGCGATTTGACCTCCTTTGAGGTTTCCAATTCCTTTATTTTTTTCTTATAGTGTTGTTTAATCTTTTCCAACGCGTGCTTCGATCGGGTCGCCTCAAAGTTATGGGCAATTGCGGCAAGCTTCAGCTTTTCTTGCTGTTTTTTTAATGCGTAATTAGAATCATTGTACAACGCCTCCTGACGCATCAACTCCACCTCTCGGGAGTTGAGCTCCTTCTGCACGATCTGCGTCGCCTCGTTTTGCTTCCGAACGGTCACCTTTAAATCCTTTACCTCGTCCGCAAGAAGCCGCATCTCGAGAAGTCTCTCATCCTGATGAAGCTTGGGCTTCCCAACAAGGCTTTTCACCTTGACGGCGAAAAGAAGCGCGTTGAGGTTCTCGCGGACGTGCTCGTAGTAGGGCGTCACGCAGGAGATCACGCTCAGGTTGTAGCCTTGCTGGAAAATGAGAGGAAAAAGCCGTGTAAAGGCCGTTTCGCGCACGGGCACCTTCGCAAGTGGGTTTTCCCCACTATCATGCTCCACCGCGACGTCGAGGGAGCGCTGGAAAGCCATCGGCATATTCCGAAGCAGCGCAAAAACAACGTGCACATGGCGCGATTTATTCACCGGATGCCCAAAATTCTCCGGATCATCAAATTGGAAGGTTTCGGTAAAGCGGAGACTAACGGTATGGGTGTTTGTTCGCCCGATCGCGGCGCGCTGGATCTGGCGAAGGTAGCTGTGTAGGTCCTCCGGGCCCTTGATCTCCACCTCGGTCGCGCCGCTAAGCCGCGCGCCGTCCACCCCCTGAACGACCTTCAGCTCCTCCCCCGCGGTGGCGGCCTGGCGGGGGGTCCGACTCCGCCGCAGCGCGAGCAGATCGACGTAAGTCTCCCCCGCCATCTCCACGCACTCCATGCGGGCGGACAGGGTGCGATTCTCGTGCGATTGCCGCGCGAAGGCGTGGAAGATGTCGTCGGCAAAGCGGGGCAGAATCCCGCGATCCGGCCCTTCCAGGTCGTCGCCGTAGAGGGTGTAGAACCGCCCGCTGTTCGCCGCGCCCGCGAGGAGGAAGGCCGCGTTGTAGCCGGCCACCACCCGCGCAATCCCCGGCGTCACCACCCGTTGGTAGACCTCGGCCTGGCCGCAGGGCCGGAAAGGGCTCTCCGCGTCCTTAAACGACCACAGGACGTTCATCCCGGCGAAGGTGCCGTTCCGCCGGGGGGCGAAGTCGTCCTGGGGGTCGAGGACGGTGAGGACGTCCTTGCCGTCCCAGAGGAGGATCTCGCGCGGGGCGGAGCAGCCCTCCGGGCAAATCGCCGCCTCGCGGTCGTCAAACGGGCGCACCCGCACAAAGCTCGCACAGGGGGTCGCGGTCATGGGTTGGAAAGGGTCTCCAACGGATCAATAAAAAATAATAATAAAAATTAATAAGAGTACGACGTACAATAGGACTAGGTGGAATCGTTGTCGTTTGGGTCACAACAGAACAGGTGAGATAAAAGAGGGAAAGAAGGGAGAAAAATGAGCCCTGCACGCCGTCCAAGACACCATCAACTCGGTTTAAACCGGCAAATGTAGAAATAAAATCCAAGCTCGCACCTCATCGATTGACTCGCTTAACGCGGATGAATCGATTCGCTTGCAGGATGGCAGACAATTAATTTTACACCCCCACCTTAAACACACGTGGCGGACGCCCTCAGACGTACTCCCGATCATCCTCGACGCGAGACCGCTTTCGCTCGGACCCGCGTCGCTTTTCCAGTGCAAGGCGCATCGGCGTCGTCAGATAAGAAAGCCCCATTGCCGCGTAGAGGTTGATGGCCGTTTCCAACGAGGCCGCATCCTGCTCAACGGGAAATAGCTTACGAATATAAAACGCCAATTCGGAATCGGCCTCCAGGCGCTTTCGCAGGGCCTGATCGCCCATCTCCTCCATGAGTCCTTGGAGGAGAAAATTGATAAACAAACGCTGGGATTCGTTGTTGTACAGGATATCCATCACCCCAAGGCACCGGTGCCAATATAGCGAATTCGTCCGCAGCAGATGGGTGTAAATTTTGCAGGTGTATTCGATCTGCTTCAGCGTTAAATCCTCTGCATCGATATACCGCTCAAGAAAAGCCTCGATAAAAAAGGTTTGAAAGTGGGTTTTGCTTTTACAAAGTCGCTCAGCCGCCATGGCGTACATCTTTCGGTAGGATTTCTCTTCACAGCATCCTTCAATAACCATAAAGCACACCGTCCGCTCCGTCCCTGACTTCATTTGCTTTAAGATTTTATGCACCGCTTCGTCCGCGCGAACGCTACTGCAGATCGCTAAATAAACCTCCTTTCGAAGCTGCCGCTGCTCGTTGGAAATTACCGGCTTCGAGGAGTCAAGCGCGCGCTGCGCCGTCGCCTCTTTATTCGGCGGATGTCTTTCTTTGGCATTAGCAAAGGATTTACCAGGTTCTATATCATTTCCCTTTGCATCCTCTTCATCGGTTTCGTCCTGCGAATCCTCCTCCTCGGCGATTGCGGCTCGCTCAAGGAGCTCCATCTCCCAGTTTTCGCCGAGAATCGCCTTGCGAGCGACCTCATAGGTTTCCTCATGCTCGACGTACGCGCTATCAAAGGCGTAGCGATCCAGGTGATCCTCCGGCGCGTACTTTTCCTCCAGGTTTAGTGCATGCGTCGTTTGCGCGTTGAGGTCGATGAGCAGTAGATTCTCCGGGATCACGCTCACCTCGTCCTTCGCGCGCTCCCACTTCTGAACCTCCTTGAGGCAACTTTCCAGCACCGCCTCGGCGCGCGCGGAAAGACGCGCGGAGTCATCGTCCATGGCTAAAAAATCGCGAAAAGGGGTGAGGACCTGCTCGTGAAACTCCCCTCGCGCGCGCTCGGACATCGCGCGGAAGGTCGCGCGGAAGAGTTTCGCCGCCTGATCAATGTCTTCCTCGCCGCGCGTTTCCGAACCCAGATGCTCCAGGATGATCTGGTAGATAATATCCACCTCGACGACGTTGAAGATGTACAACCCCGCCAAGAATCGGCTGATATTCTCGAGCGATTGCCAATCCTTTCGGAGGTAGGTCCGCCGCCATTGCGCCACCAGGCGCTTGCAAAGCAGGAATACCACGTGAGGGAACTCCTTATTAATACGACTCGCCAAGGAGGAAAGGAGAAGCGTGAGTTCGGGATCGGCCTGTTGGGCGCGGAATAAACACCGCGCAAAAAGCCCCCGCCCGCGAATGAGATTCTCGCGGAAGAGCTGGGTGGCCGAATCCGCGAGGTTCTCGCCGCTCAGCCGATTAATAATGCCCGTTAAAGTACGTCGGAGGGCTTGCCAGGCGGCCTGTTGGTAAGCCTCGGAGGTCATATCGGTCAGTTCCTCTGCTTTCGATTGATCGTCCGTCTTTCGATGAGGCGGTACGTAAAGAGACATCGTGGAAAGGTACTTCTAAATTGGGACGTTTATTACTTCGGGGTCTAACCAAAACTTCTCCAACAAGAATAGGAAATGGTTTCGAAAAATGAATTAGAATAAAGGTAGGAAGTAGTGAGAAAGATTTTTTTAAAAAAAGCATGTTAATAGGTCATAAATAAGAATATAGGAGAGTACAATATCTGAAAATTTTACCTTTTCAAGAGTGTAATAGAGAAAGCATATCTGTTTGACCAAATGATCAACTGAAGACATTAAGAGATACGGCAAGATACGTCGGTACAGACAAAGCAAGGTTTATAAAACTAAACCGTATTCACACCCTAAAAGGAAAAAATATATATTTATGGAAGAAGAAAATGCAGCAACAACTTCATAACACTAATAATAATAATAATCGGTAAAAATACGATTGAATATATAAAATCTGATATTTAATATAGACAAATAAAAAAAACAAAAGGTCGAACCCCAACTTCATAGATCGCTACCGCGTTAGGCCTTCACCTTTTCGTCATCATCTAAATAGGCCCGCAGGCAGTTGTAGCCTCGCTCGAGATCATACGCGAGCTCCCTAGCCTTGACCTCGTCCAAGGTATCGGCGGCCCCCATCCCGTTCAACCGCGCATGCCAGCCCTCCAGGCGGAGGAAAAAGTCGTGGTCCTTGAGCTCGAGCTTGCGGAGGCCCTGCAGGAGCTCCGTCAGGAGGGGGTTCAGCGCGTCCACGGCGGTCTGCTGAAGGCGAATGGCGTCCAACAACGTAATAAAATACTGCCCGCACTCCAGCGCCTGCCGCGCGAGAAACCGCGCGGAGTTCTCCGACGGGCTGCTGAAGGGCCCTTCCTTGATCGTCGCGCGGGCCGCCGGGCAAAGCGCGCAATAGGTATTCATAAAGTCCTCGATATTGGTGAAATGGGGATTGCAGCCTTTGGCGAGATAGTTGACGGTGTGTTTGTACTTCTCTAAGAGCCGCCGGACGGTCAGGCCGTACTGCTCCTGCGTGATCCAATCCCGCCGATTCGCCTTCTCCACGTGCTCGATCGCGACGACGATGGCAAAGAGGTCCGCTAAATAATCCACGTGCTGCCGCTCCTCCGGGCTGATCTCAAGATAACTCATTTTTTTTTCTATTGGGCACTTCAAGCGAGAAGACGGAAAACAAAGTGGAGGTTCAGCATAGGAAGAATTATCATAAGAGAGGGTAGCCACAGGGGGACTATTGTCCGGATTGGAATAAGGGGATTAATAAAATTCAGGAAAGGGTATGGTATTATCCGAATCAGCAAGACAAACGACGAAAGGAAGAGGGGGGAGAGGGGGATAAAAAAGCATGGAAGATAAATCGCATGATAAGATGCATTTAATACCCTATAGATCACGTTGATAGTGACATTCAATTGATTTGCAAACAAAAAAAAAAGGTAAGCAATAGTTCAAACCCCCCTCTCCCACATACATATGGAAGATCCAACATAAACGATATATATAAATAAATAAATAAATTGAGTTTTATTTCCCAAAAAATAAAGCAATCTATAGGCTAGTCCGATTTCGTGTGGGATATCTTCCACGGCTTGAACACGTAGCCACAGTTCCTTAAAATAAAGAAGAACGCGCCGATCACCTCCAGAATCTTCGACGACGACACGAGCCGCACCGAGGCGAGCAAGACCTCGTACGATTGCTTGGTAAAAGGGTACCACCAGATATTCCGCGGCACCCACCGCGAGGGCAGGATATCCTCGTTAATGCACTTAACATTGCACATCTCCCGCAGGCCGAGGACGCCGTGGGTGCGGCCGATCCCGGTGTTCTTCCACCCCCCCCACGGCACCTCCGCCATGCCGTGCATGTACAAATGGTCGTTGATGCTGACGAGGCCGCTTTCGAGGCGCCGCGCGATGGCCCGCGCTCGCCGCGGGTTTTGCGAGAAGACGCTGCTCGTCAACGCCAGGGCGGTGCCGTTCGCCAGGCGGATCGCCTCGTCCTCGGAGGAAAAAGGCACCACGGCGAGAACCGGGCCAAAAGTCTCCTCCTGCATCAGCCGCATCGCCGGCGTGGCGCCCACCACGACGGTGGCGGGGAAGAACCACCCTTTGGCGGGCGAGTCGCCCGTGGAGGCGTCGGGGGCGGGCTCGTCCTCGGCGCCGGGGGCCGCGGCGCGGCTCTGGGCCACGACCCGCGCCCCCATCGCGACCGCCTCCTCGACCTGCGCGCGAATCTCGCGGAGTTGGGCGGCGGTGGTGATCGCGCCGAGGTCGACATCCCCCCGCCGGGCCGTCCCGGCCC